GTACTTGTAGGTGTATGTGAGGCTCCCAGATCACCCCAGAGAGTAGGAGCTGCCCCAGGCTCTGCCTCGCAGTGCCCAGGATGCGCCTGCCACAGCCAGCAGCTGGGCCGGACCTCCTCACGTGCGGCCTTGTGTCGTGCCTGTGAGAATGCAGTTTGTCTTTGCACAGTGTGGGATTTGTAGGGTCCTTCTCTTCCAGCAATGTGACCTTTTTTTTTTTTCCTCTCATGTGCCAGATTGTTGCTTAGCCAGCCTATTCAGCCCATGATGCCTGGGTCCTGTAATGCAAGACACCCTTCAGACCTCAGCATGGCGGGATCCCAGGCCAAGTACGTGCCTTGTCAAAGATAAAACATCAAAGTCGCTTTTGAGGGGAAGTAGCCTTCTTTTGTAAGATGACAAAGTAGTTATAAATATTGGGAATGTGTTACTGCGCTGAGCCTGCCTTCCAGCATCAGGGTCAGCCTTACCCTGCCTGGTCATATCAGGAAGGATGGCAGAGAGAAACACAGAGTGCCCGTGGCACTTTTAACAAGCCATGGCTGGGGGAGTTTTTGTCCCTCACATGCTGCCTGCTTCAGCACTAGAACTTCTGACCCACCAAGGTAAAAGTGAGAAAGTCAGCACTGGCTCAGTTAAATGACTGGTGCCAAAAAAGCCTCACCTCAGTTTTGTCTCCTCAAAACTGAAGGAACCAGAACAAGCTGGTCAAAATATACCTTTTTTTTTTAAGCTGTTTTTTTGTCACTGTACTTAATTGTGAACTCCTAAAATAATAAGAAACTGTTCGTACATCATTTATTTAAAAATAATTATTTTTACAAAACAGTATTTTTCTAATGTTATCTCAGGAATGTAGGTATTCAGAACTTTTTTTTAAAACGGCATTATTGTTGTTTAAGATTGAGTTAATTTGTCAAATGTAAATATTGAAGCTCTGCTTTTAAGCCTCGGATTAAAAGAAGCCTTATTTGCAAAGAGGCATCTCCCAGTTCATGTAGACTTACAGACTCCTGGGACCCTTTTATAGGAGCTCACATCCTCGTACAAGTACCCAGACTGTAGCATTTCTGACAAAACCCTAATGTTGAACAGCTGTTGAGTGAACACAAGTCACACTATGATCTCATCACCCTTTACAGGATAAACAGAATTAGGCTGGGTTGGCAATAGTTCCATTGTGGTTTTGCCCACAGCCTTCCACAAAACAACACATATTTAAGTTTTGCTTTGCAAAAGCAGAACAGCAAGAGGAATATTTTGTTTCTGTCCCATCCCTTGTTTCAGAGGGTTTCTAGAGGCTTCTTCTGTTCCTAGAGTGGGGCTCTCAGTGATGGGAACTGCTGATTGTACTTGGCAATATGTGTATGAGAAGCATAAGAAATAATCAACCCTAGCCATGTTTCTGCAGGAGATCACCAACCCCCAGACAGTCACAGGCAGCAGGACAGGAAGTGCATTTGCTTCTCTCTCTCTGACGTTCAGGGCTCAGCATATTAAAACAGAATCAAAGACAATTTGGTTTAATTAGCCTGGGATGTGAATGCTGTGGCTGAAGACAAGATGTGCATAAACCAGAATCTTTAATGAATCTAAAATGTGATCTGGATTCTGAGGTGAGATGTATTCTTCCCTCCAAGTCCAGTTCATGCACAGAGTAAGGGAAGGCAGTGCTGCCAACAGTGCTGTTGTTCACATTAGCAGGTCCCATGCATGGGAATCATTTATTGGGAATTATTTGGGGGTTTCAGCTACAGCAGAGAAGGCCCAGGGAGACCTTACAGCAGCTTTCCAGTATCTAAAACAAGCTACAAGAGACAGGGGGAGGGACTTTTAACAAGGGCATAGACGGATAGGACAAAAGGTAGTGAATTTAAACTGAAATAGGGCAGGTTTAGATTAGATACTAGGAAGAAATTCTATACTGTGAGGGTGGTGAGGCACTGAACAGGTTGCCCAGAGAAGTGGTGGATGGCCCATCCCTGAAAGTGTTCAAAGCCAGATTGGTGGATGGAGCTCTGAGTATAGTGGAAGATGTCCCTGTCCATGGAAGGGAGGTTGGCACTAGACAGTCTTTAAGGTCCTTTCCAACCCACAGCATTCTGTGATTCTATGATTTAGGAAGACTGGGGATTACCGTCCCTATTCTAAGAGAAGACCTTTATTTCCAGCACTTTGTTCTTGATTGTTTTGCTTCTTTCTTCCATAGGTATTCTCAAACCCAACAAATGTTTCAAAGTTTGGAAGTGCAGACTTCCAGCAGCAGCTCTCCAATCGTACTGATGGGACAAGCAGTGTTAAACCAAGGGTTCACCACTACCCCTCCTTCCCAGCCATCATCTTTGCCACCTATGCAACTCCAGCACCAACAGCATCAGCAACAACGCTACCTGCAGGTAGGACAAAGAGGCTGATGTATAAAGTGTGCACACAGAGTAACAAGGTGAGTGGGCTGTCCAAATGGTCCCCAGGTTTCTGCTGCAGCCTGATCCTGGCAGAAATGTCCATTTAAAAGATTCTGATTCTGACTTCAGATGTGTGACACATTGATACAGTGGCCGGTACTAGTACAGCAAGGGAGCAATCAGAATATTTAAAAGGAAATTACTAATTCTGTAAATTTAAAGCATAATCAGATTATCTTGGATATATTTAAAGTTTATTTCCAGCTGGAGAAAATCAGTGCCTTAGGATTTGTTCTGTACTCTTTATTCAGTATAAAATTTGCTTAGTTTACGAGTCAAAAGATGAGTTTTAATTACCAGCATCAACATAAAATAGATCTGGATCAGATATCTGGATCCCTTTAGGAAACTAACATATTTTCTCAACTCTACAAGGCAAAGAAGATAAAGTGGACCACGTTGCCTGGAAGAACCAGGTGATTTGAAGATGTAAAAATACTTATTTTTTGACCTAATTCAACACATGCTAGAGTAAAGGGGGAAAATGAGGTGTCTCTGTATTAGTTCAATAGGAGCTGAACTGAGTCTGTAAAGCCTGGTCACATATCCACTGGCATCACTGAAAGAGTATAACCAACTTCAAATGATTAAACTCTTGTTACTGATATGAAATCCTTATCATAGCCGAGAATTAATGAAAAGAATTCTGGCAGATACTGTTTCCAATAAAGCATCTGAAAAATTCCCATCAACACTGCGAAGTCACACCCAGCTGTAAGCTCAGGAAAAGGAAGGGCTAGAAGGGGCAGTATGAGGCACATTAGGTTTCATTTCTGCCATCCATCCGTGTCATTTCTGACATGTTCAGCCATGCGATTCCCAAACAGGCTTTTCAGGATAACCTGCAAATCCCAGGCAGTGCATTCCTATGAGAAAACCTTCTCAATGCCTAATTGGAATGTTCTTTGTTGCAATTTATGTCCATTCCTTCTAGTATTAGTTAAGCTAACCTCATGCCAAACAGCTCCAGAAATAAAAGCCAGCAAACCAGTAGTAATTTTTAAGCATCCTGTAACCTGAGGACAAAGAGCATTAACGCGTGAAAGAATCAAACACCACGATAAATTTTACTTTATCTGTAGGTGCAAACACCAAGTTCTTTGCACAATGAACAACCTGATTCTTTGCTCCTGCCATCTTACTCACCACAGCAAGGAAATATGGGGTATCATCAGACACAGCAGCAGCAGCAGCAGCAGCAACAGCAACAGCAACAACTAACATCAAGGAGAAGGAACAGTTTATCAGAATCATCAAATTTACCACAGCCTCTGCGATAGAGTCCCACCAGCACAACCAATGCACGATTAGCTTTAACCAATGGGCACATGGGGCAGAAGAGAATGACTCTGTACTTACTGTTCTGGCTTTTGCACAAGCATTTCTTTCCAAGCTTTGTGACAGAAGTACACCCAGTGCAGACTGCCACAGACAGTGCACTCACGGCACGCTGGCTTCAGTTTGCGCTGTGTCGTGAGCACAGGATATACTGACAGAGCAAAATAAAGAGGAGCACTATCCTGTGGGGCCTCCATCACCACTGGGAGCATGGGAAGAGGCATTCAATCCCAGTGTGTCCCTCTGGAAGCCATCTGGCAATTCCAAAAGACTGTCGACAGACTTATGAGGTACTTGGCCTTCACTGTTTCAGTTCTTCTTTTGTGTATGAAAAGCACTGCGTCAAAGGTCTATCGAGGAGAGAACAAGAGATTATTTTTATTATGATTATTGTTATTATTTTGCACAACTGCACAGATGACAAAACCTAGGCACTTTCTGTAAAGAGAAGTTTGTTTCTTTATTCTTGTGGCCAAATTAGCACATCCAATGGAGGAAAAAGCCCAGCCATTGGTGAAGATGGTCTACAGCTCATAACCCTTGATTTAGAATCTGAAAAGTATTATGCAGCTTACCCTAACTGTTCTTCATCACTAAAAACCAACCAACCAAAAAATCAAACCCACAACCACACTGGACTGTTTCCTACAGGAATTGTGATTGCAAAGGAGAACTCAAATTGTAAGCATAGTCATGCAACTCTCCAACAGTGCAACATCAATCCTTCTTCAACCTAAACTCACCCACTCCAAGTCTTTGAGAAATATGCACTGTGTTTTGGCCCACTGACTCGGGATGCTGCAGACTATTACATATCTCTTTCATTATAACATTTAGGATTAAATTTTCCTTTGGAGGGAAAAAAGAAAAAATGCACTTTTCGCTTTTTTTGTATGTTTTCCGTTGATATGTTTCTAAGAAAGATTTTATGTAATTATTAAATAAAAAGTAGTGTATTGTACAGCTGTTGTAATAATGACCTATTTCTATATAAAATAAAATTATATGGAATTATGTGGAAATTATTTTGTATATGAAATATCAACTCATTTCACAAGTATAAAGATTGTGCTTGTGCTTTTTTGTGAGTGGGTATTTTGTAATAAACTAATGAATTAGAAATGTTTTTGTGAAGGGAACTACTGTTTCATGCTATATACAACTCAAACTATTATTTTTTTCCATTTAATGATGGACAGTTGTCTTTATTTGTAGAATAAAATAAAATAGCCAAAAGGCTTTATTGCAGGACTTGCACACATTTTCCTGTGACTGTTGAACTATGTGATTCACTTCAGACTTTTATTCCTAGCCACAGACTTGAATGATGTTCGGCACCCAGTTAGCAAAACTAAGTATTATACCTTGTAGTTTTTGTCATGGCACAGACACTGAGAATGAAAGCTCAGGAAGTGAAATTACTGCAAGTGAAGGCAGCTTGTTTGAAGTACCTTTAAAACTTTAAGCATCTTTAAAGACCTCAGGCAGCTTTGTACTTCCAACCAAAGAGTTTTATATTAGCACAAAACAGATGAATTAAAGGACAGTTTGACTCAGCATATGCCAGGGCTTTGACCTGTGTCCAGCTTCAGTGTTTTAAGACACTGCTGTCCTGAGTTTTGGAGCACATCTCTTCTGGAATAGTCACCCTGTAGACAGTCTGGTTTCCACCTTACCATCCTTGTGCAGACTCCTTTTCACATTAAATTAATATTGACTACAGGATGGAGCAGCCAAGGTACAGCCTTGCTTTCCCTCTACAGACAGGGAGAACTTCCAGCACAGATTGAGGTGGGTAATAGCACAGGAATGTCTTCATTCCCCTCAGTAAGACTAAAAGGGCATGGCCCTCAGGGCAGCTTGCAGCCACTGAAGCCAGCATTAGGCTCAACAAAATACACGCATGGCCTTCCCTCCCTTGAGTACCAAGGATCACATCAGCTGGGCCCACGTGTGCTGGTTTCTGTGCCATAGGGGAACAATAGAGATAACTGGGCTAGGAGCTGGAAATTGTGAAAATAAGCTTTCAAGGAAATGAAAAAAGCTTATTTGCCCTGAGTTCTGAAAAAGCTAGAAATCTCCTAAAGAAAATCCATTGACAAAATGATTACCTTGATGCTTCAGCTGCAAGACTCGGTGGTATCACTGATGGGTGTATGTGTATTTCAGTCCATACAATCCCTCATTGAGAGAGGATGAGGGAATCAAATATTGGGTCTCTAAGAAAAATGTTTTTACAGCAAAGACCAGGTGGCTAAACCAGAGGCTAACTTCATAAATCCCAGTCACTCCTGAAAAAGGAGGGGACAAATCCGTAAACCCAAAGTTCATGCAGGAAGAGGTAATGAAGAAACATGAGCACCTGCAAGGAAATACCTGTGGAAGCAGCAGCTGATGGATCTCAGCTGCTATGACAGAAGACACAGGAAGGGAAAATAACCTATAAGAATTTGTTCTACTCTCTGGGATTATAAATCCACATCTCTCCCAATTGTCAGTGGTACGTCCAAACCAAACTCAGCCTTGGTGCAAGCACTTAACTTTCTAAAACCATGGCACTGTAAGCTGTCAACAAGGAGATGCTGTAAATAGCGTGGGATTGCCTTCTTCTGAGCTAGTTTAATACATTGTTTGGAAAGGATACAGACAGCTCACAAGAGCAGATTTACGTCAAGACCTAGTTTTTCATGTTCTTCCCCATACACACATTCTGGTTTGGGATTATTGTCCTTGTTTTCTGTTACACGCACAAAGCAACGCCAGTCCCCCTCACAGAGCTGGGCAGTTCTAGTTCATTATAGCCACAACCCAGCTTGTTCCAACATAATCCCTCAGCTCGGGTCCGTTTTCCGGGCATGCGGGGTGATTACATCAGGCTACTGCCCCACGCCGGGATGCCTCGGTTCCGTCTCGGGAACAAGAGCTCCAGATCTGCAAGAGGCACAATGCTTGCTGGAAGCACCACTGCGCCAAGCTGACCTCCTCACACACCACCCCAAGGAAAACAGACAGACCCTACACAGGAAGCGGGTGGGCGGGCACCGAACATCCGCGGTCCGGGCACACACAGACACGGCCCCAGTGAACACCCCTGTGCAGGCACACACTGACACGGCCCCAGTGAACACCCCGGTCCGGGCACACACTGACACGGCCCCAGTGAACACCCCGGTACAGGCACACACAGACACGGCCCCAGCGAACACCCCGGTGCAGGCACACACTGACACGGCCCCAATGAACACCCCGGTGCAGGCACACACTGACACGGCCCCAGTGAACACCCCGGTACAGGCACACACTGACACCGGCCCAGTGAACACCCCGGTACAGGCACACACTGACACGGCCCCAGTGAACACCCCGGTACAGGCACACACTGACACGGCCCAGTGAACACCCCGGTACAGGCACACACTGACACCGCCCCCAGGCCTGCCCCTCCTGCCGCCGGCGCAGTCGCTTCCCAGCCTCATCCCGGAAGCGCTCCTG